CCCCAAAACCCCAAAACCCCAAAACCCCAAAACCCCAAAACCCCAAAACCCCAAATATTTAGCAAGATTTGAAAAGATAAAACAAGATAAATTAATGAAAGATATAATCTCATTTCATGTGGGCAATGCGGGCCAACAGATCGGAGACTCTACCTGGCAGCTCTTTTGCATCGAACATGGTATCCAGCCTGATGCCACCAGAGTGTATGAAAGGCCGTATCAGGGGGAACAAGACTTCTTCCACTCGTTCTTCACTGAACACCCAGACCAGACTTACAGTCCGAAGGCTGTCTTTGTGGACTCAGAGCCTAGCAGCAGTCTGCAGGTCAGCGAGGGTGAACTCAGCAAAGTGTACAGTCTCCAGAGTTTTGTGCTCAGAGAAACAGACACGAGAAGACACAGTTTGGAGCCAGAGGAGGCAGCCAGTGGAGGACTAGTAGAAAGGGCCATTGAAGCAGTACGATTGGAGGCAGAAGCATCAGATGGAGTGGGAGGGTTCATTGGGACTAGCTCATTGTGAGGTTTCACTGGATCAAAACTCAACTCTGAGCTACTTCAACAGCTTTCAGATGAATACCCAGGAATAACTAAAATGCAAGTTTCTCTATACCCTTGAAACATTGCAGAAAATGTTACTGAGTGATACAATTGAGTTTTAAACTGTGAAAGTTTGATTGAGGATGTAGATCTTAACTTTGTAATGGACAATAAAGCAGCCTTTGGAATCTGCAAAGAATATTTGAAGTTAGAAACCCCTAATTTGACTAATATCAACAGAGTCATAGCACAAGCAATGGCATCAATTACTTGAACAATGAGGTTTGATAGTTGAATGAACCAAAATCTTGATGAAATGTTACAGAATCTTGTGCCAGTAAAGGGTCTTAATTTTATCTTAACAGCCAATGCTTCATATGTGCCTAGCACTAAAGTAAGAGAATCACCATCAACAGAGGAAGTCACAAGAGATTTGTTTGATTCAAGTGCTTGTCTCTCATCTTGAGAGCCGATAAATGGAAGGTATATATCTTTGAATGTCTCTTACAGAGGAATGCATATCCCAAAGTTTGTAAGCATTGCGCTATACGAGCACCGCCCTCGTATCAATTATGTTCCGTGGGAAGTTTGAGGAATGAAATGAGGAATCTGATATAATTCTCCAAAAGTTTACGAAGGAAAAGAAATGGCTTTGGTATCAAAAGGGGGAGTCAAATTGGCAAACAATACAGCTGTTTGAAGTGTCTTTGAGCCTATTGAAGAGAAGTTTGATCAACTTTATTCTCGCAGAGCTTTTGTAAAATCCTATAATGAGCTTGGATATGAAGCTGATGATTTTGAAGCTTCTAGGGACAAGTGGAGTGATTTAATTTATAGATATCAAACAGCATCACAAGCTACACAATATGATCTTGATGATTAAAATCATTGCATAATGATGCGGATTCAACCAACTTTTTTCTCCAAGGGGTTTTGGGGTTTTGGGGTTTTGGGGTTTTGGGG